GAAGAGGGGCAACCGGGACAGAATCCGGTGCCCCGACCGGGACTAGAACCCTGTGTGCCGGCGCTGCTAGGTGGAGGCTTAGCCTATTGAGCCGCGGCGCCGGCCTCAAATGACTGGATTTTGCCACCCACATGGGAGACCTGGTTGGAGTTGCTGGTTCCCAGCTTCAGCCCTAGCCTAGCCTTGGCCACAGCAGTCATCTGGGGGGAGGTGGTGAACCAGCAGATGGAATTAACTGATCAATCTCTTGCTCTCTCTCTGTCTCTGCCTTTCCAAAAAATAAAAATAAAAAAGGTTCATAGAAAAATAAACTTATCTTTTAATTACATTTTTCCTCAAACTTTTTGAAATACTCTCACATATGATTCTTAACCTGATTGGTAACAAAGACAGGGAAAATTTAAATAATTTTGTTTGACTATCAAATGGGCAACATTTTAAAAGATTAAAACTATTCAATGTATTAATTAGGATGGTGTCTAAGTTGCTTGTGTCAGCTAGTCTCCAGGGATGACATACAACAACAACATCCCCCTCCTGCCTCCATATGCATGCTGCTCCTTACATCAGGAGTTGAAGTTTATTTCCCCTTCTTTTGAATCTGCACTGGCTCTGTGATTGCTTTTACCAATAGAATGAGGTGGATCGATGTCCTGGGACTTCTGAGCCCAGCCATAAGGGATTTGTAACCTCAGACTCCTTTTTCTTGGAGTACTTAGTGGTGCTGGCCATAATCCCCAAAGATACTGTCCCCAATGCCATAATTCTGAATGTTGAAATCCCAAAAGACCAAAATCCCTAAAGTCTGAAATCCCAAAATCACAATCCTGAAAGATTAAGGTCCTGAATGGTGAAATCCTGAAGACAAAATCCCCAAAACCACGGTTAATTTCCATTTAAAAAGAAAGAAAAAAAACCATATTAAATGGGTAGTGGCTGGGCCTGTCATAGGGCAGTGATGAAAACATCCATTCATTCAAAAATGCATCATTTGTCTGCATTGCCATTCCTTCCAGATGATGAAATTCTGGAAGCTTTTAATGAATTAAAGCCACATTTGCTTGAAGAAGCCAGCAAAGTTACTGACTGGTTGGAAAATAATTATGTGCCTGTTAGATTAAGAAGGCACTTACGCTGGGGCAGGCATTTGGCTCAGCAGTTAAAACCCTGCTCTAGACACCTTCATCCCATATCAGAGTGCCAGCTCCAGTTCAAGTACCAGCTCCAGTCTCATGCTAATGACCAACTTGGAAAGCAGCAGACGAAGGTTCAAGCACTTAGTCCCTGCCACCACATAAGAGACCCAGACTGAGAGTACAGCTCCCAGCTTCAGTCTGGCCCAGACCCACCTGTTACAGGCATTTGGACAGTGGATGGGAGATTCTCTCTCTCTCTCTGTCTCTCTCTCTCTCTCAAATAGAAAATAAATAAAATTTTTTAAAAAGTAAAGTACAGGGTAATCACAATCAAGGAACTTATCTTTTTTTTAAATTTTTAAAAGATTCATTTACTTATTACTTGAAAGGCAGGGTTACAGAGAGGCAGAGGCAGAGAGAGACAGAGATCTTCCGTCCATTGGTTCATTCCCCAGATGGCCACAATTGCCGGAGCTGCGCCAATCGGAAGCCAGGAGCCAAGAACCTCCTCTGGGAATTCTCATGTGAACGCAGGGGCCCAAGAACTTGAGCCATCATCTACTGTTCTCCCAGGCCACAGCAGAGAGCTGGATTGGCCTTGGAGCAGGTGGATCATGAACTGGAGCCCATATGGGATGCTGGTACTGTAGGCAGTGCCTTTACTCCCTATCCCACAGCACCAGCCCCAAGGTACTTATCTTGAGATGCAATATTTATATACATGGAACACCTGAAATAGCTACCATAGGCTCAGCATGTCTTACAGGCAAAATATAATGTACAAGGTGGAATATACCATAAAAATCTGAAGCATTTCAAGATTTCCTGGTCAGATGATGGAAAGCCTCAAAGCAGCAGCTTGGGAAGAATCAGCACATTGAAATGGTTAGGGAATTTGGCTCCTTTGGGAAAAGGGCAGGTGGAAACTATGGAGACCCACCCCTTTCCTAATTGTATATGCTCCTCATGCCCCGCAGAGTCTGAAACCCTTTGTGGCTATTGTCTATATTTTAGTCTTTCCCACTCACTGGGTACCCTTTAAGGGTGAGAACCACGTCATCCGCACCAGTGATTACACAGCACCAAGCTTGGCAGCTAGTATAGAAAAGATCGTCGTTAGGTGGATGGTGAATGAGTGATGGGTGGATGAGGCAGCATCACTTGGGTCCAAGTCCTTGGAGACCCACAGACAGACCATTCCTGTTCTTACTTCTTTCTCATACTTCCCACACAACTTTCCTGTCCACCAAATAGGTGAGATTAGTATAGCTGTCATTTGCCAGGATACATGATGTAAATAAGCAAGTGCTGGGGAAATGACAAATTAGAGCCACTGGCCTACCTGTTTCCTCAGGCCCTGAAGTCCTGGTTGTGCCAAGGGCTTCCTGCCCAGGGACAGATGCTACTCCCCCTGTCTTTCCAGCTTGCTGTGCTGACAGCTCTAATTGCTAAATGAACAGTCTGTGTTTCTAGTGGGGAGAGAGAATCTCAAGAGTGTTTAGGCTTCTGCATCCCTGGAAAGGGAACACGTTGTTGTGCAATCAGAAACCACCATCTCAGCAGGAGAGGTCAGCACTGGATTTTCCATTACAGGAGGGTTAAATTTGGAACCTAAAGGTATTCTTAGAATTTTGGTTCCCAGAGAATAATGGGGCTTTTCAGATCCTTGTAAATTTGTGTCTGAGCTTTGCTTTCAAAGCAAAAGAAGCTACTGTAGAAAAATAATAGTTTGCAAAGGATAACTTTGATAGTAGTAGTGGGGTTTATGGCCTTGGCAAATGTATTCATGACATGAATCTTTAAAGTCCATCCATAAATAAATATGTGTTAGGTATGTACATGTAGGGTAGAAAAATCAAGAATTCTGAAAAATTATACAGAGGTGGCAGCTTTACTGGTGAATAAATCAGATAGTCATGCAGTCATGAAGACATAACTAGAAGTGTGACAAAAAATTATGAAGGCCACATAACAGATACAAGTACTTGAAAGAAAAAATAATCACCCCAATGCCTTTTATTATTATTACTTTTTTTTTTTTTTTTTGTCTTTCCAATGAGGTGGTTTAATTCCAGGTGATAGAAAGTTGGAGAGCAAAGCCCAAAGAGCAGACTCTGGAAGGATTCTCAGCTGAGTTTATTTTAAATTCACAGCTGAGAATGGCTGAGTGAAAACAACTGAGAGACAGTGAGCTACTGTACAGTGGGGTTTTCCCCCTTTTTACTGAAGCTTATTTGTAAAAGTACAACAGGCTCCAAGATAACACTTAACTCTAAACACTTCATTCTAACTACGGGTGGCAGAAGATGTTATGGCTGGGAATCGGGATGGTTAGCTAGGAATGCCATCAAGGGATCATCACTTCAGACACAGGAACAGCTTACTTTTCACCAGATTTCTTAATTCCACCTGTGGCCAGGAGGGCTCTTCCCCCCACCTTCGCTTTTAGCTCCTCTTTGTTTTTCTTTTTTTTTTTTCTTTTTTTTGACAGGCAGAGTGGACAGTGAGAGAGAGAGAGAGAGACAGAGAGAAAAGTCTTCCTTTGCCATTGGTTCACCCTCCAATGGCCACCGCGGCTGGCGCGCTGCGGCCGGCGCACTGCGCTGATCCGATGGCAGGAGCCAGGTACTTCTCCTGGTCTCCCATGCGGGTGCAGGGCCCAAGCACTTGGGCCATCCTCCACTGCACTCCCTGGCCACAGCAGAGAGCTGGTCTGGAAGGGGGGCAACCGGGACAGAATCCGGCGCCCCAACCGGGACTAGAACCTGGTGTGCCGGCGCCGCAAGGCAGAGGATTAGCCTAGTGAGCCGTGGCACCAGACTACTGTCTTTCAAAAAAATAAAAATGAGTCTTTATAAAAAAAAATTTGATGTTCCATTAAATCGATGCAGTGATATTTAAAGAATATGTTCAATATTTCTTTTCTGTTTGTTTTTGAGAAACAAATACCGAGGCTGAGTTCCCATCTGCTGGTTCACTTCCCAAATGACTGTAACAGCTGCAGCCGGACCAGGCTGAAGATGAGAGGGGGAATTCAATCCAGGCAGAGACCTAACTACTTGAGCCATTACCTACTGCCTCCCAGGATGTGCATTAGCAGGAAGCTGGTACTAGAACCCAAGCACTCCAGTATGGAATGCTGGCATCTTAACAGTTAGGCCAAACACTCACCTACTGTATTTCTTTTTTTTTTTTATGGTGAAAAAACATATATTTAGAATTAGGCAGCTGGACTCCGTTCAGATGATCCCAATTTTGTTGGCAACGTCCAGAGCATCATAGTCCGGAGCCAGCCGCACACACGCCTTCTTCTCTCCGTCAGGGCTGATCAGGGTGTTGACTTTGGCCACATCAATGTCATAGAGTTTCTTCACAGCTTGTTTGATCTGGTGCTTGTTGGCCTTGACATCCACAATGAACACCAGTGTGTTGTTGTCTTCTATCTTCTTCACGGCCGACTCCGTGGTCAGGGGGAACTTGATGATGGCACAGTGGTCAAGCTTGTTTCTCCTGGGGGCGCTCTTCCGAGGGTATTTGGGCTGCCGTCGGAGGCGTAGTGTCTTGGGCCGCAGGAAGGTGGGGGACGTGCGGATCTTCTTGTGTCTGCGGATGCCTTTCAGCACTGCCTTCTTGGCCTTCAAGGCCTTCGTTTTGGCTTCGACTTTAGGAGGGGCAGGAGCTTCCTTCTTCGCCTTCGGCGCCATCTTGGTGAAAAGCCCACCTACTGTATTTCTTTAAAGGAAGAGTGAAGCACTGTGTGGAGATGGATGTAGAAGGACTATAGATCCTTGCATACTCAACTTAGCAATACAAAGCCTGTGGTTATCTGGACCTACTTTCCTTAAAAAAAAAAAAAAGTTTGAGAAGAAAAAACAATTTTGCTGAGATTGAAATGGTGGGAATAGGCAGCAGTAAAGGAGGAAGTAACTAGGAAGACCACTTATTTCAGCTGTTGTGGAGGCAGTGATCCAGTACTAGTTTATCAGTCACATGTTGCCCACACTGTCTGAGGGCCTTGGTCTCTCTTACCTAGAGGCCAATACCAAAACATTTGCTGAAGGATGCATACCTACCTCCTATCAGCCTTATTTTGGCCCCAGGGTATCAACTCCCTAGCATTCCAGTGCCTGGGGTTCCAGACACACACCACTTACACAGAGTTGAGGGGTTACCCCATCATAACTCTTCTTTAAAAAAATATATATATATATATATACTTTATTTATTTAAAAGAGTTACAGAGAGAAGTAGAGACAGAGGTCTTCCATCCGCTGGTTCACTCCCCAGATGGCCGCATCGGCCAGAACTGTGCCGATCTGAAGCCAGGAGCCAGGAGCTTCTTCTGGGTCTCCCACGTGGGTGCAGGGGCCCAAGGACTTGGGCCAGCTTCTACTGCTTTCTTAGGCCATAGCAGAGAGCAGGATCGGAAGTGGAGCAGCCAGGACTAGAACCGGCACCCATATGAGATGCCAATGCTTCAGGCCAGGGCTTTACTCCACTGCGCCACACTGCCAGCCCTTCATCATAATTCTTCTTCCTCGTACAAGTGTCCACCTGGACTTGTGCCCAGCCTGAGATCCAGCCAAGACACTAGACTGCCTGTTCTGAAGCCGAGATGCCTCTCACAAACCATAACACCAATTCCCCAGCCAGACCCCAGTGACCTTTTAAAGTAAAGTGTTCCTGTGAGTACTGCCAAGGCATCAACAGAGTTCGTCATCATATTTGGGGAGCAACGGATGTAACCAGTGGCTCATTCACTCGTTTTCAGCCATGACCACACCATTAGCTGACTCATTTAGAAAGCAAGGTGATTTGTTAGGTCCCCAGAAGTTGCTCTATAACCTAGAGCTGCAGGCTTTGTTTCTCTCTGCCCTGATCCTGTCTGAGGCCATCTGACATTTTATATTCTCTGGACTCTTAGCTTATAGAAAAGCTATGGGGGCAACTATATCCCAGAAAGACTTCAGGTCTGTTAACAGAACGCCCGTGTCAATTTCTCACAGAAGCTGACCTTCGTTGAAGTCAACTGTTATCCCAGAGAATGGAAATTCCAGCTTCGAGGCTCTGTTTCCTGAGGCCTGGTACCTGAGGCTAGGACACACAACCCATCCTAGCCTGTAACAACTGCCACGTTCCGAGCAACTCGATCACACCAGGCAGGCTGCCTCTTTAATGTTCTGAGAGTTCAATTTCATATACTCTCAGCAGCTGAAACTCTCAAGGGAAACGCTTTCCTTAAAACCCAGGGGACATGTATACAAGTCGGTGCTCTGTCACCATGCTGTCTGACCGTTCTATCTACCTTGAATATGGTCACCAAAGGTCAGAATCAAAAATTACTTCCTGGCTTTTTCCCACGGGCCAGATGTGGAGCTGGAGGTCCCGGGAGTTGTGGCCGGCAGGGGTCCCCGGAAGAGGACTGTTAAGCTGCAATGCCGCATCGTAGGGGAGAAGTAATTCGCCCGGTTATTGGAACTGCGGCGTCCGGGGGCGCCCTGGGCTGGGGGCGGGTTCTTCTGCCCGCAGTACCGCACGCTGCAGCCACCTGACCGAGCTTGAGACTACGTTCAGCCTCATGGATTGCAACCGCTCCTTCAGAGTTGATACCACGGAGCTCCAGCGCAGGGATCAGGAGCTACAGCATCTTGTCCACCCAGATTTCTTCAGCCAGAGGTCTCAGCTAAAGCTCCATGGAGTAGAGATTCCTGAAGGGGCAGATTATGACATGGACAAGCAATTCCTCATGGAAATAATGGAAATCAATGAAAAACTCGCAGAAGCTCAAAGTGAAGCTGCCATGAAAGAGATTGAATCCATTGTCAGAGATGACTTTGAAAAGGCCAAGGAAAGTTTAACAAAGATGAGATACTTTTCAAATGTAGAAAAAAAGCTCAAGTTAAAGAAGATTCCCCTCTAACTGTTGCTAATTTAAAGTTTTAAAAATAAAGTTCTTGTATATTTAAAAAAAAAATACTTCCTTGTACATTACTGCTACCTGAGACTTCCACACCAGATGAGTGCCTGGAAAGTCTAAGGAAACCATGCATCATTATCAACTCTCAGTGTTGCTTTGAATGTTTCTGACCCAATCTTCTAATAAGGACAGTTTCCATATTAGCCCCCACCCACATCTCCACAGCCAATTTAGTAATCAGATCTTTCTCCATGGAAAATTCAGTCATTTGACATCTTGCCTGTTCCCAAGTTTTCCTTCCAGGTGAGGAAGCCACTTCCTTGCCCAACTGAATACTGCCCACCACACACAGTGATGACCAAATGCTGCATCTCACCCAAAAGTTCAGTGAGAATTTGTCACTGACATACATCATTGTGTCTTTGTAGCACTCCTCACCATTGCAGGTTATGTGTTCAGCAGTTTGCTCCCTCTCAAATCAGAGCGCCTTACATATGTTCCTACATCTCCCTATACTACCAACCTGAAGCTCTACAAACTCTGTAGTAATGATGCCTCAATGCTTTTGTGCCCCTGTGACATTGAACCTTCAAGCCCAGCAGACCAGCCTGTGGACTGGGACTGAGAGAATAAGAAGGATAAATGTTGCTCACTTTAACTTGGTTCCTTTCCTAGGAATTAATTAGCCTTCTTTGAGTTTTACCTCCAAACTGTTCTCACACGAATCCGGTTTTTCTTGGCTCTTGACTTTTGTCCTTGCTATCATTTGATGCTCTATTCCTGCATTTTGGATTCTTGAGTGGAATTTGGTTTTTGTGTCTTGAATCCTTGAGGGCTTTGCCTTATGTTCATTGCTCTGATGCTTTGTGAACTGTATCAGGCATTGTAGACTAGGGCCCAAGATCTCTGGGTCTTAATACAATAGCGTGGCACTCTTTTCATATGTATGTTCAACTTGGGTCAGCAGGGGTTCTACTCATTGTAGTTACTTAGGAGACTCAGGCAGATAAACGCTCCATCTCACTCCTGCAACGTGATTGCTATGATAGGAAAAAGGTGTGGCATGTAGTATGTAAGCTTTTGAAAATACCTATCCAGAAATGACACAAACTTCTATCCACAATTCATCAGCAGAAACATATCATATTTGCATGCCTAACTTCAAAAGGAACAAGAGTGCCACCCACCATGAATCCAGAAAAAATAATGGAGGATTTGTTAATGGTCTTTTTTTTTTAGATTTATTTATTTATTTGAAAGCTAGAGTTACACAGAGAGAAGAGAGGCAGAGAGAGAGGTCTTCCATCCGCTGGTTCACTCCCCAATTGGCCGCAACGGCCAGAGCTGAGCTGATCCGAAGCCAGGAGCCAGGAACTTCTTCTGGGTCTCCCACGTGGGTGCCGGGGCCTAAGGACTTGGGCCATCTTTACTGCTTTCCCAGGCCACAGCAGAGAGCTGGATTGGATGTGGAACAACCGGGTCTCGCACCGGCGCCTATATGGGATGCCGGCGCTTCAGGCCATGGCATTAACCCACTGCGCCACAGCGCTGGCCCCTTGTTAATGGTCTTAATGACAGGACCAGGACCCAAACCTTAGTATGGCCCATCCAGTATCACCCCACCAAGGCCCATCCCAGTGCCATCTGCCACCTCTTATTCCTGGAGTTTTCCCTTTCCACTCATCCCACGTTGCCTCTACCACCTGACTCCTCTCTGCATTCCCCCTTAGTGTAACTGCCTGGTATATTATCTACATTTCTGCTTTTGATTCTGATCTCTGCCTTTGAATTTCAGGCCACATAAATGTGGGAAAGAGTGCTTTGCCCATAAACTATGCTTCAAACCTAACAAAGCCAGTTAAGTTCTGTCTAGCTCCCTTTTGACAGTGGAGCCACCCAGAGTCCCAGGACTTGCACTTGGGGGAAACATACTAAATCTTTGTCCAAGGAAGGGTGTTAAAGCCCTGGTAACTGAGCCAAACCTAGCCATCATGCAGGGAGCCAGAGGCAAGTAACAGGATCCTAAAACAAGGTCAGGGAGCTGGAAACATGAGAGTGAATACCAGCAGGGAGAACGCTGCAAACACAAACACCATAAACAGGGTCATACCATAGTCACATCTTGGAGTTCTCTAATTAAATGTGTTTCACTAAAGTAATACCTACATGTGGTTTATAAAATCAGTAGATTTCATAAGACTGATAATGCAAATTGCAGTCTCCCTTCTTTCCACCATTAAAACATTTTTCAACATTTTTAGCAGCCAAGTAATATGACAATGTGCCTTTCCTTTTCTTTTCCTCAGCTAATAATTCCCTCTTAGTCTTCTATGCATTTATCACTAACTCATCCTCAACATGACCATACATTCATCTACTATGAGTCTAGGGGATCCTCAAAAGTTCATGGAAGGGGCCTGCATTGTGACCTAGCAGGTAAAGCTGCCGCCTTCAATGCTTGCATCCCAGGTGGACACTGGTTCAAGTCCCAGCTATTCCACTTCTGATCCAGCTCTCTGCTAATGGCCTGGGAAAAGCAGTAGAAGATGCCCCAAGTCTTTGGGCCCTTGCCACCCACATGGAAGATCCTAGTGAAGCTCCTGGGTTCAGCCTGACTCTGCTCTGGCCATTGCAGCCATCTGGGGAGTGAACCAGTGGATGGAAGATCTCTCTCTCTCTCTCTCTCTGTCTCTCTCTCGTTCTCTGTAACTCTTTCAAATAAACGAATAAATCTTAAAAAACAGTTCATGGAAAGAGTGGATTATTAAAAAAACTATGCATGGATTTCAAAGTTTTTTGATCAAAATAAACTTATATTTTAATTTCATTTTCCATGAACTTTTTGAAGGACCCTCCTATAGGTGGCATCACTTACATTTTTCCTGGAGGACATCACTGCCAAAGCCCTCTGAGTTCTCCCCTCCACTGCAGACAGATTGTTCCCTAGGCCTGCCACCCAGGTCTTATCCTTTCATTCTCTCTTTTTGAGCTTCCTCCTTGCCTTAATTATATACCTTTCGTGTCTTGATTTACTTTCTCATGGTGACGGTTGATTTGTGTTTCTGTGAGACAGTCAGTCAGGTGCGGCCACAAGAGGAGACTCAGGAGAGGATCAGAAAAACAAAGTTGATCACACTCAGGGGTCCTGGAGAAGGGGGTCACCACATGCCACTCAGGGTCACAGGGGAAATGCCACATGTTAGCCAAGTGGCAGCAAACAGGAACCAGGGAAAGTCTACAAGCCTAACTGGGGCTTTCGGGAAAGGCAGGACAGGGCAAGCAGTTCAGATAACTGTGGGTAAAGCTGAATGACTTTGAGAAGGCTACGGGCTGTGGAGGTGGCCTCTAGTTACCTGGTTCGTGGCCCTAGGATGATTGAAGCAGGAGGCCTGCGTCTCTCCTGTAGGTCAGGTAGAGAAAGTACAGCCACAGACTGATTACTCCACACAGGAAAGGCCTGCTCCCAGCTGAGCCCTCTTCAATCTCTTACGAATTTGCTGGCTCCTGGAGGGGGGAGTTTTCCCCCAGCCAGGCATTTAAGATGTGACACATATTCGTATACAGAAAGTTCAAAACATATACTCCCCCTCATGTGATGCACATTCTCTAGGAGTTCCTGATAAGGGGTACCTGAGAGGAAAATTTCTTGAGACCTTTCTTGTAGGAAAGTGCTTTATTCCACCCTCAGACTTAATTGATAGTGTGGCTGGATATGGATGTCTGGTTTTGAAATAATTACCCCTCAGAATTTTGAAGGTGTTATTACGTTGGTTTGAGTCTTAAATTGTCTATAGAGAGTCTGATTTTCTTCTGATCCCTGATTTGTTTTGACAAAGGAATTTAAAGCCAGATAAGATTCAGGCTCTCTAAAAATCACTAGCCTGGGGGAAAATGAGATCTGATACCTTAGTCACACAAGACCCTGAAGTATTGGTTAATCTTGCTGACTAGCTGACACCGTTTGGGCAGTAAATAAGTGAAGCACTCATTCCCTTCAATAACTCAAGAAAAGCACATGATCTCCTTATTGCTATTTCTGCCAAATGCATCACAGGATGCAGACAAGAACCACTCAGCAGCTAGTGCTGTCCTTTGTTAACTTGTAATTGTAACTTGTTCCTCCTTTTTCTGTTTGTGCATTCCAATCGCTTGGCTGCATTTTGGAGCACCTATCCTGGGCAAACAGAATAGTGTTTGCTGGGGGCCTTCCCCAGTTTGACTCAGATGAACTCCTTCATTCTCACACTCAGTGGGCCTCAACTTGCTTTCCAGGTTGCTGGTGTGTATGTGACCTATTTCTCTCTGGAAACTTTTAGGATCTTCCCTTTCTCGCTCCTGCTTTGCAAATGCTTTAGATGAATTGAAACTTGTGTCATCGAGAGCCCAATTCCATTTTTTATAGGTATTTGATGACAGCTTTCCATCCCCACTGTCCCTCTTCCCCTTTTGCCTCACATATAGACAAGCCAGTAAGAAAAGCTGGTGAGCCTTCCCTGGGAAAGTTCAGACCCTGAAAGTCCTGGTGTGTCCCCGAAAACCCTTACCCCAGTGTCGCTCCCTGCCCCTGTCTGTCCCCTTCCACCCACTGACCACATTTAAAGCCAAAGCCAGTCACCTCTGCAGCTGCTCTCGAGACAATTTTTTTGACCTGCTTGGGAGCCTCAGGTATGGACATCCTGATTATGTATGTATTATATCTCTCATCCCTTCTTCCTTGTAGTGGCATCAGTGTAGACATCCAAGTCTGTTCCCCCTTTGCAGGAACATAAAGCATCACCACGTAGTAGCTGACTGATCCATCTCTATCTGTTTGCAAAAAGGGAATAATAAGAGTACTCATATTGTTGCCTCTTAGATTCATTTCAGTTAGGGCTAATGAGGATGCATTGTGGAGATGATTGGGCAACAGTGTGAATTACCTAATATTACTGAATTGCATACTTTCAACAGTTAAGATGGTACATTTGATGTGTACAGAGGACTGACTTAAGAGACTCAAACATCTCTGGGGTTTAATATCCTAGAGTTGTCCCAGAAACAATCACCACTGGATACCAAAGAACGATTTGTAATCAAATAAAGCTTTAAAACAGAGTAGGCAGTCTTAAATGGATGTAACCTGACAAAGAACTTGCAAGTCCATGGAGCAATGTGGATGGAGAGTCTGGAGGTGTGCTGCCCTGCTGACCACCTGCCCTCTTCCCACTGCTCACATCTCTGTTCAGTGCTGTCCTCAAACAGCCCTTACTCTTACCATTTTACTTAAAATCGCCATTCCCCAAGCCATTCCATAACTCCGTTTTATTTTTCTCTGTAGCCTTTAGTGACAACATGGCATTTTATTATTCGTTGGTCACTCTTCCTTGTCAGTCTCCCCTACTAGAGAACAAGCATCTTCATTGTTGATTTTCATCACATATGCCCAGAGCCTAGATCACAGTCTGGGTCATCCTATCAGATGTTCCATTGTATTTTTTGAGTGAATGAATGATTTATGTATTTACTTATTATTTAATATATAAAGTATATACTTAATACTATTATTTCATTGAGTTTAATTCTCTTCATTTTTTAATGTTTATTTTCATCTACATAAAAGGCAGAGTGACAGGCAGAGAGAGATAAACAGAGGTCCTCCAACTGCTGGTTTGCTACCTAAATGCCCCCACTGGCTGAAACCAGGAGGCTGGAACTCCATGCAGGTCTCCCACGTGGGTGGCAGAAACCACCCGCAGCCTCCAGGGTGCTTTAGCGGGAAGGTGAGCAGCCAGGACTTCATCCAGCACTCCAGTATGGGATGCGTGAGTCCCAAGCGGCAGTTTACCCGCTGTGCCACAAAGCCCACCCCCATTTTCATCATTTACTTCCCCATCCTGAAATCACTTCCTACGCCTTTACTTCGTGTCACGTATATTGCTAGCTGGGTAAGCTGGGGGAGTTCGATAAAGAAACCCCCACTTTCTAAAGAATAAAATTCAAAGTCCTTAGCAAGCAAAGACTGGACATCTTAAATCCAAGGGAGTAAGGTTTTAATTGTATTAAGCGCTCAGGAAGTTAATTTTGTTTCTAGAACTCTGGGAGCGTCCCTTGACTTCCTTCCAAGCCTCTCAAAGACCCAACTTCTTAATTTTCTGCGACCGAGCTTAGCGCCAAGTTGAGACCATCGTTGCTTTCGGCGACCGAGTTGAGCGACAAGTTCAGGCCAGCTCGGCTCACAGCTCCTCCCTTGGTAATTGACAGTTGGGGGAAATCCTGCTGAGGCCTGCCCCCGCCCGCCTCCTGTCTAAACTGAGTGGCAAGAACCGGTGGGAATGGCTGCCAGCTCAGCCAATGGACGAAGCCAGAGCTAGAGCCTGTGTAAACAAACCCTGAGGTACTGCGCCTCGGGTTCCTCCCCCACGTGGGCCAGACGCGTCGGTAGCCCAATGCAGATCCAGAACGAGCGTATCGTCCTTTGAGCCAATCAGAGGCAATGTCTCCCGCAAGGAGGCGTTCCATCCTGAAGGAAAGAACAGAGGAGGCTGAAAGACAGACGTTAAAACCAATCGGAAGCTGGAACTTCTAAGGGCGTGGGCGGGCACTGTTTAACATTTAGACGAATACAAACCACATAAGCCCTTCTAGATGACTGAGCGGCATGCTATTCTGTCCAATAAACGAATGGGGCGGTGCCCGGCAACCAATGGGTTGGGTTCGGGGGCGGGGTGAGGAGCCAGTGTGCACTAAAGAGGCAACCAAGCGAGTGGTACTGGCTGTTCTCTGGTGCTGTGGCTCACGTTTTGGTACAAGAGGCCGAGACTGTCGGAGCGACTGTGACCTCTGCGGCGGCGGCTTAGGTTCTCGGAGGAGTGGCAGAGTACGATCTGAAGGAAGGACTTCTGGTGAGCCCAGGTGGGTTCGGGCTGCCGGGGAAGGGACCCGCGAGAAGCGCAGCTTTCCCAGCTCCGGGAGCACCCCGCGCCTCCTTTTCGGCCGCGCTCGGGGCTGCGGGGTGTCGCGCTGCCGCCCGAGCCCCTGTGGGAGGGAAACCTCGCGGGGTCCCTCGTCGTGGCCGTCGGTGATGAGGTGACCCGTGCCTCTCGGGGACCCTAGGGGACCGTGGTCCCGTTCCCCTCCCCGCACAGGTGCTCTGCCCCCCTTCACCCAAGTGCCTGAGTCCCCTCAGCCGCCTCCTCCCCTGAGATCCCCGGGCTCCGAGCCCTCTTACTACACCCTCAACGCTCTGAGGCAAATCCCCCGGAGCTGCGTCGCCGCGCCCCGCGCCTGCGGGAGGAGTTTGCGTGTGCCCCTCCCCCACGGGCGGCCCCCGCGCGTGATCTGCGTTTCTTAGCCTCCCTCTCCCCCAGCCCTTACTCTGGGTAGGCTAGTTGGACTTGGAGACCTCGGCCCCGGGTCTTCTGCCTTGCCTTTTGCGACTGAATCCCTCACCCGCTTCCACCCTCTAAATTTCATCCTCATCTCTCTTGGAAACTAACGACTCCCCCCCCCCCCCCCTTTCCAGGTAGCCCAGAGGTGAACGCCAGGGAAGCAGAAGAACTTGAGAGAGGCAGAATCCACTGAACTTGGGAGCTTTGCAAGGTTGGGGAACTTTCATCGGCTCTGTTAAGTTTTAAACTGTTGTTGGCTTCCTTAAGACGGCATTTGCCATTATCTAGAATCCGTGTCCCAGTACGGTTCTTTTGGTGATGATTGCTGAAAAAGCAGGTGAAACGGTTTTCCTGGCAGCAAGCCATTTAAAATGTATGACTATCGTGGTTATTATTTTAAGTAGATGGAATTGGATTGTACTTTAAACAGCCTAACTGAAGTGGCTGAGGGTGTGAAGTCTAAGTAAGGACCTGCCTCCCTACTTAGTCATAAAGCATCGGATGTTCTGCGGCTGTACAGCACAGCGTAATTTGGTCGCACTTAACCTATGAATGGGTAATAACAGCCCTGAATCTGTAAAAACAACTTTTCCTTTCCTCCTTTCACTAAGAATGTGCCTTCACCTTCATAGTATGAATGTATCTGGTTTCCCGTAGTGTTGGTTCTTGCCATATGTTTCTAGACAATAGCCCAAACTATGTTGTGCCTAAATAAAATTATGCCAAGAGTTTTGCGAGGAAAACTAACTCACCACTCTTAGTTTTGATTGAGGTTTTAGAGGTTTGAAAATATTTAGATAGTAGACAATAAGGGTTTTGTTTTAGAGATTGGAGGAAATTGAAATATTGAAATAAGATTGATAGGCTCCTTAGGCTGTGTGTGGGAGTGCAGAGGGGGGAATGAACATGTGTGTAAAACCTTGTAAATTCTTACAATGCTTAATTTTGTGACTTTACATAAACTGGAATGACTTTTCCTAGTTGTTAGTGGAGAAATGTAAGCTGTGAGTTTAACATGTTCATTGTGTTTGGGCCACAATTTTGCAAGCTTTTATGAAAAAGTTTTACTGTTTTCTTTATCCTATTTCTCACATACGTACACTATGCTTCCCTGTATCTAACTATAGAGAGATTTATCTTGTGTATAGAGAAATAAGCCTGTTAGAGTGGATTCAGGGAATGTTTACTCTGAGGTAGCAACATCGTCTGATGAACCATATGTTTGAGCCTTATTGATGAATCACACTAAAAAGAACAAGATCTTAAGACCATCCTAACAAATACCTGGGTATTTAGAACAATAAAAAGAAGTGATAACAGATTTTTAACAACTATCAAGGAAAATCCCAGAACAAATTACAAATCTGTGAATTGTTCACACTGTGAATTAGTATAGGCTGTAGTTGAAAACCAAAGTTACTTTTGTACAGTCTTTTCAGGTATATTTGTGCTTGGTAATTATTCGTTTACAGACTTACAGGATTATAGGTATCATTTCTCCCTAAAGACCTTGACCTTTCAACCAAGAATTAAATGCAGACAAAGAGTGCTGTAGTTGCATGTGTGTGTGGGATGCCTAGAAACACTGAGACCCTGTGGTCTGGTCTCATCTCCTGCTCTCGCCTTGCCCAGCTGCTGTTTCCTGAACCTGTTTTCCTCTGTACATCTGGGCGGCTTTCTGTAGGTGCTGTTCGCTCTCCTTGAAAGCCTTTTCCATACCTTATGTGCCTGGTGAAGTTAGGTTTCTTCAGAATCTTTTTGAAGACTGCCTCTACCTCATTCAAATAATTATATTTTTCTAACTTGGTTATTACATTATAAATAATTATAGTTTATTTTCATTATTCACAGTAGTATGGTCTGTAAAGTTGCCTAAAATACCTAATTACAAATAATAAACCATTGCTCCTAAGGAAAGTATGTACATATATACATATATGTACGTACATACATTAGGTCCTAAAAACCCTGGATCTTTATTTTACAGGAGGAAATGAGGTGCAGAAGTGTTAAGGGACTTGCCTGAGGTTGCCCCACTAAGAGGTGCTAGAGTTAGTAGTCAAGACCTGTCCAGTTGGCCCCAGCTTCTTGCACTACAGTGCAACGCCCCCTACTGTCTCTTCTCTCTCGTGTTCTGTGTGAGAACTGGAATAAGAAGGTTCAGCATTGTCTTGTTCGACCTTAGTTTGCGACATGTACAGAGAATGACAAGCTTTTCATTTCTGTGTGCATGTCCATGGATGACCGCTAAAGCTCCATGAGTGTTCATTTTGGGGTTACAAATAAATTTTAGTGAGGAGGCAAATTTACAACTATGAGATCTGCAAATAAGAGAATCTAGAGACCATTTCCTGGTTGCCATCTTCTGTGGAATGTTTCTTTAATTTCTTTGATAACTTGTTCACATATTTATTCAACAGATATTTTTAACCACTCATTATAGTCATATTCTGCTTCAGATTATTAAAACAAGCCAGAGATTAAGGTACTGCCCTATGGGCCTTATGTTTGAGTAGGAAAGACAGATTGCTAAGTCTGCTCAGGAGAGAGGTCCAGGTTGGAATTATAAATTAAACTGACAAGATAAACCTGGTGTGCCCTCTCCCATTTCACATCTCCAAGCATACTTTCAGAACATTGTGTTCCCTTGTGCTTTAACTCTTCACTTTGAGTTTCTGCTTTGACCTATGTTAACCTCTACCTATCATGTGTTGATTTTGAGGCCACTTACCCATGTAACTGGCAGAATATTGTAGAACAGTCATACTGACGTGGTCTTTGAATTCTGGCTCTACCATCTACCAACAGAGCTTGGTCAAGCTCTTGGACTTTTGAACTTATTTCCCAATTTCAAAAGTGGTGGTATGATGTGTTAGATCCTTGTGGGTTGCAAGGAGAGGCACACACATGTTACCTTTGGTGATGGAGGTTAACTATACACCTGAATGAGAAATCATCTCAGCAGCCATATTTTCTCATAGCTCTAGAGCTTCCAGACCGTTATAGAACATGAACATAGCAGGATAGAATTTGAGCTCTGGACAACTGCCTCTTTCACTTTGTTCACGGTAATTTGTATTTCCCCAGAGGGAGTAGCTGGTTGGATTGATCTATCACCTTCTATAATGGAGCCATCCCTATTGGGCAGAATTTTGAGCCAAGCCAAAATTGATTTTGATCTCCCCCAAGTTCAACTTGTGTGTTGTCTTTGAGGCACTGAGCCTTGATGTAGTTGCTTGTGACCAAAGAAGTAGGACTGGTTTTACTCATAGACAGAAAATGCTATGCTATAGCATATACAATAAGAAGTCTTTGGAGACAGTTTTTCTTTCTATTTTTCCAGAAGAATATGAGGGTATAGCAGTCCTAGAGTTTCACGGCCTTTGTCCAGTTCACATACCTATGTAACACAGTCATAGATAATGTTTAATAAAGCATCTAGCAAGATAATTGACACATGCCAACTGTTCAGTACATCTTCCATTTGGTTTTGCACTAGCAGATGGGTTCATCATAGGTATTCTGTTTAGTCACTTTATTTTCATTTATATTCATTTAGTCACTTTATTTTTATGAGGTAAATCCCCTACGAGTACAGTTACTTTGCCCTAGGAAGTGATTTGCTACATGTTGTTCTGCATAATGAGAACTGGAAGGAGGGCTGACTTTTCAACCTAGTGAATACGTGATGTTGTGATGCTTTAGTCTCCTGAACCACTTTCAGAAATGAAGTTGGCATACATAAGTGGTTCTGTCTTTATTATGCATTATTGTTTGCAATAGCATGAACAGGAATGACTTAGGTATCCATCAACAAAGGATTGCTTATGTAAACTGGTACACCCAAACCATGGAATAGTGTACAGTTGGAAAGAGGAATGAGGAAGAGCTATATCCTGTTGTAGAGAACTCTAAGGAACAAGGTACAGTGTAGTAGTATAGTATGCTACTTTCTGGGAAAGAAAGTGTAGGATAAAATAGTCACATAACATGTGTACTTGCAAAAGGATATTCTGACATAATATATAAGAAAGCAATTAAAGTGTTTATCTGCAGAACAGGAGTGTGAGTGGGACTTTACCATATTCCTCCACATATCTGAATCATTAAATAAGTTTTTTGAATTATGTGTTGGTATTATCTTTTAGAAATTAGTCAATGGATGAATTAAATGAGATTATGATAAAGGAATTTTAAAAACAGAAGATTTTGAGGAGCTGTCATCCTTTTTTTATTATTATTTTTTGACAGGCAGAGTGGACAGTGAGAGAGAGAGAGACAGAGAGAAAGGTCTTCCTTTGCCGTTGATTCACCCTCCAATGACCGCCACGGCCGGCGCGCTGTGGCCTGTGCACCACGCTGATCCGATGGCAGGAGCCAGGTGCTTCTCCTGGTCTCCCATGGGGTGCAGGCCCCAAGCACTTGGGCCATCCTCCACTGCACTCCCTGGCCACAGTAGAGAGCTGGCCTGGAAGAGGGGCAACCGGGACTAGAACCTGGTGTGCCGGCGCTGCAGGCGGAGGATTAGCCTAGTGAGCCGCGACACCGGCCACCTAATTTGTTTTTCTCCATGGTGCTATAGGAAGACTCTTTAAAAGAATAAAGGTAGGGCAACTTTGTGTAGTACACGTGTCAGAAGTGGGCTGATCAAGCTTGCAAGCCTACGTATGACACATGTGAAAACATGTGTTTAATTTTAAAGTTTATATATTTCATTTACTTGAAAGGCAGAGAAACAAAGAGACAGAGACAGGTGGACAGAGATGTCCCATCTGTTGATTCAGTCCTCAAAAGCTCACAACAGCTAGGGCTGGGGCTGAGCCGGGCTGAAGCCAGGAGCTAGGAACTCAGTCTGGGTCCCTACCTGAGCTGTCACATGCTGCTTCCCAGGTATACACTGGGAGGAAGCTAGAATCAGGACTGGAGCCAGGACTCAACTCCAGGCACTCTGATATGGGATGTGGCATCCCAAACAGTGTCTTATCTGCCTGCCCCCAGAAAAGAGATGAAAATGAAATAAGATTTCTCCCTGATTATAAAGGAAACCATACTCTTTGTGATATTTCAGAAGACAAAATATAAAGATAAATGATCTTTAGTTTTACAACACAAAACATTCTGGTTTTGTGCTTTTTAGACTTTTTTTTATGCATACAGCATTTTAAAAGGTAGAATCATAATATATAGTCTTTTTTTCACTTAAATATTTTG